TCAGTCTGTGAAAGATCTTCAAAAAATCATTTGCTAACCATTATGTTGACAATCTTCTAGCTCTGTTCTCCTAGGTGGAGGACAGATATGTTCAATATGTGCAAGGGTCAGCAATGACCCAGATGTTTTCCTATTACAACGGGGAGCCCATGTCAGCAACCTGCAGGGAAAAGCACACCTGGATGTTTCAGGAGGCAAAACTCTACATCAATGGGATAGAGCTCAAGGCAGTAAAAAAAGTCAGGTGAAGCCTTCCTATATTGCATACAGGGGTGGCATGCAGATTAGGATAATCAGCACAATAATGTTCTATATTAAATAGGGTGGAGCAAGACTCTCTGCCCCCTCCTCCACACTGGATACCTGGTCCATTTATGACAGTAGAGCATTCACCACCAAATATACCTGCTGACAATACATGTCCCTGGCATCCATATCACCACAGGGGACAGCCATGGCACTCACAGCCCTACGCAACAGGAGGCAGGTTAAGGGTTCAGCACTACATTCAATGTTTGCACGCTGGGACTACCCAGAAAGAGACCTATTTGCACTTGATGTCAACAGAAACTCCCAGTCCTTCTGCTCTGTGGGAGGCCACTATCCAGGATCATGGGAGGGGGGGCGGAAATCACAGGAAAATTGAGCTGGAAGGGGCCTCATGATGTCATCTAGTCCAGTTCCTTGCTCAAGGCAGGATCATTCCCCATCTCCTTCTCCTCTCTTTTACTTTAACACTTATGCCCACAACACTTCCAGGAGAGAAAGCCTGTCTACCTCCACACCCCTCTCTAGAGGTCTGATGCCAGATGGTGAATAGTACTAGCTTCTTCTAGACAAGGATGCTGACCCAGGGAAGCATGTGACCCCAAGAACACAGCAGAAGGGGAAACCAGCTATGAGAGAAGAAACTGAATTATGGAGCACATTTGATGCACTGACAAATGAAGAAAGGACACAACCAGGAAGAGAAAATGGGATGGCAAGGATGAGGAAGCAAGCAGCTAGGCTTGGAAGAGGAGATGAGATGATGGAAACACCCAGGGGCCAAGAAGGAAGGAGAATGATACACAGAAGACTGGCAAAGAAAGCAGGTCAGTCTTCCAGCAGAAAGAAGAGTGGAAGGGGAGGACCAGAGATGCATACTGGCCCCCAAAGGGGCAGGGTCATGTGGTTTGGGGTGACTTTATAGATTCATAATGCTAGGGGCTGGAAGTGACCTCTCGAGATAATCAGATCCAGCCCCCCGGCCCTTGGGGGGGAAAGACTGCTGGGTTCAGATTTCATAGATTTTTAGGGCTGGAAAAGGCCTAGGAAGATTACAGAATCCGACCCCCTGCCCCTGGGCAGGAGAGAGTGCTGGGATCAGATGACCCCAGCCAGGTGTTTGTCCAGTCTCCTCTTAAAGACCTCCAAGGTAAGGGAGAGCACCACCTACCTTGGAAGTCCATTCCAGATGACCCTGGCAAGATGAGCATGGAATCAATCCAGGGTGGATTCAGGAAAGAGATGGGTATGCTTCCTGCCAAAGGGACTGAAGTGAGACGTGGTTGGAAAAGATCTTCCTAGGATCATGGAAGAACTTACTGACCATCCTCATGGTGGGACACATGATGCCACCAGATCCCTGATGGAAAGGGGGGGGGGGGGGAGAAAGAGGGGAAGATGCTCAAGGGAAGGTAGGTTCAGGTGACCCTCCAAGGTATTTTTCCAGTCATAGGAGCACAGAGAAGTGCAGCTGGAAGGGACCTCCAGAGGTCACATCTAGTCCAGCCCCCCACCTGAGCCAGCATCATCCTCATACAAAACATCCCAGGCAAACGCATTGTCCAACCTCTTGATAAAACTACCATCAACCTTGACACAACATAAGATATAACACCCAAACCTGCCACAGGTGAAGCAAGGGGATCACAGCAGCCAATGTCCTACTGCTGTATAAGATCATTAGTATATGGGCTTCTTCTCCAATATCTTCTTTATTCCACAGTCAGAAATCCTTCTGGTCACTTCCCACCCAAGTCTTATTCTCCAGGCACTCCATGAAGCAAGACAGGATATTATCCAGGTAGCAACTAAAGTGTTCTTGGCCATTTAGGGGTTATCTTGGCCCACTGTCCTTGAGCACTAAGGCATTCTCATCCAGTAGTCCTGAACTTCCTCAAAAGAGTCACCAAGATCTTTACTTCAGTAAGAGATGCCATCACAGAGCCAGACCTAAATATGGTCCTCACACCTGTAATAAGGTTTCCCTCTGAGCCCAGGGCAATGTGTTCCTTGCTCTAACTCTCTATCTAAAGGAGATAAAAGCCATTATGGCAAATCCTCCATATTTTACCTTCTATCCAGATAAAAATATGTGGAAGAATTTACCTCAATTTTCAGTCCAAGATAGCTACTGAATTCCACCTCAGTTAAATGAGCTTGTAGGTTTTCGTCCCAAAACCTCACTCCTCCAGATCTCAGAAGTCATTATACATATTTTATGTAGAGAGCTTGGTTGTCCTACCTACACAGGAATGAGCTGCTCAGGTCTCTAGCTGTTTACCTCCCTGGCAGAGAGATCCAAAACACTCATCAACAGCATGTCCAGCTGTGTCATGAGACTAACAAGGTAGGACTGGCTTCTCAAATATAGAAGTCTCTGAGGCAGATGGTGCACTTATTAAGGTGGTTCTTTTACTTTCACCATCTCCAAACCCCCTCAAACAACAGACATATAACTAACAAAAGAAAGATGGCCAAAGAAGGGGGAGGTCTGCAAAATGCATATGAAGAGCACAGAAAAGAATTTTTGATAAATAAGATAAATTTAACTCAGGAAGATTTGATGGAATTCACCCCAGTGCTCTGAAAGAAATAGCTAAAGAAACCTCAGAGCCACTGACAATAATGTTTGAAAACTCATGGACAACAGGTGAAGATTGTGGAAGAGCTAACAGTGCGCATATATGAAATGGGGGAAAAAGGAGGATTAGATCTGTAAATATGATTTCAATACTTGGGAAGTTAGTAACAAGTCATGCCAAACCAACGTGATTAGCTTCTTTGCAAGGATAACCAGCTTGCTGGATGAAAAGGAACATGTTGATATAATAAGGCAGTAAGGCATTTGATGTGGTCCTACATGATATTTTGATGAACAACTCTGCATAAGTGTGGGCTAATAATTACCAGTCAATGGAAGACATTGTGCTTACATCATAGGAATTGGCTTTGGTGGAAGTGAAGACAAAGCTACAGGTTACTGCACCACATAGTAAAGCTGCTCTGGGACACTGAGGGGCAGCCTGAACCCTAATAAAAATAGGTTCTATTTTTTTATTTTTTTTAAGGCGATGGTAGCTTGGCTAGATGCTACCTACCAGTGGAACATCTAGCTCAGGGGCAGGATATTATTTTGGGTGGAGGGCCGCTTAATGAGTTCTGGTGAGCTGTTGAGGGCCACATGGGCTGCCCTGCCCCCCAGTCGCCAATTTCAGACTGGAAGTCCCACCCCTAACCCCTGACCTTTGCCACCGGAAGTCTCACCCCTTGCCCCGCAGAAATACTCCTTTAGGGATGGAGGGGTTGTCATCTTAGAACAAGGAAAAAAAAACTAATCATGCACTAAAAATCAAACACCTACTATAACATATTTTTGTCATGATTTGTGTTTGCGTAGTGTATGTAGAGGTCATTGCATAATAACTCAAAAATAAAGTCTTAGTCTTGTACATTGTGGAGGGGTGTGTGTGCGCATGTGGTGGGGGGGGGGAGGGTAGGGAGACCCCCCTCCCCACCACACTCCCCCCATGGCTCAGCAGCAGCAGGCAGAGGCATTCAGGGCACTAGTGCCTGGCAGGACATGGCTCCAGCCAGTGCTGCATATTGTGGCAAGGGGCACAGCCTCTGCCGGGCAGTCTGTATCGACGGCACTCCCCACTCACCAAACATGGGAAGGAAGCCCCAGGCGCTAGAGCCGGCTGCCTCCCTGCCCCCCAGGGGAAGGCACCTGAGGCTTTCCTCCTGTGAAGCGCAGGCCCGGCGGGGAAGGCAGCCAGCTCCAGCACGTTTGCATGGCATGAGAGGGGAGCTTCCGTCTCATGCCATGCAAATGCGAGAGCTGCACATGCAAGTGGGGACCGCTGGTGATGGACTGCCCAGTGAAGGCTGCAGCCCTCGATGCAATGTGCAGCGCTGCCTGGAGCTGTGCCCCGCTGGGCATGAGCACCTGCATTGGGCACGAGTGCCCTGAGCACCCCTGCCTGCTGCTGATGCCACTGCCACCACCTGCCAGGGCTGGGCACCATGGGGAGGGGGAGAATGTGGAGGGGATCCCCACACCCTCCCTCACACTCACACATTCTGTTAACCTGAGCCCTGTGCTGCCACTGCCACACCACTTCCCTAACTGCTGCCCAGAGTGACCAGTAATCAGCACTACTGCACAGTAGCACCAGCACACGTCTTTTAAGTAATGACTAATTCTACTAGGCACTAGCACTGCTTTCACCATGACGTGCTAATGCGCAGTAGAAATAGTCTACTGTGCTTTTAGCATCTAGTGTAGATGTACTCAATGTGCACTAATTTGTGTTATATTTGATTTATTTGTAACCTCCATATCAAAGAAGGATTTCTGGGGTTGACTTGTCCTACAGAATCCCTATGTACTGGCTCCTTAAATAATTGTCTCCCTTTGTCTCCTCCAGCACCATGCTCTGAACTCAAGGGTCTCAAATTCAATCTCTGCTTCTGAATTCTGTGGAATAATATGGTTCTGCTCATTAGCCATTAATCCTATGAACAGCTCTTTCAATTTTTTCAGCTAACTCATTGAATAAGTCAAATAGGACAGAAGAATCCCACCTCTTCCCTTGTTCAAGTGGAATTTGGTTGCATTACTTAGTATTTCCTCCCCCCATCTGCCATATTTAATATGTATTGGTGAGATTTCCAGGATGCCATTTTTTTTTTTTTCAATCTTCCTTGTAAGAAAGACATTTCTATTAACTTACTTCCCCAGACAGGAATATCTTTGCTTTCTGCCTTCATCACAATGGAGGCCATGGTCATGGTCACAGAAATAGCATCAAAGTATGAAGAATGCGGAGCCACTGTGAGAATTGCTGCTTCTGTTGGTGATGCCTGCCTGCCCTTTACAGTTACCCAATGAAATCCACCAGCGAGCCACATAGTTCTCATAAGCGCTTTCAGCAAGCAATGCACTGCCCTGAGAAGGAAAAAAAATAGATAATGGTTATGTTCCCCTAGGTACAAATTTTGTTATACAAGCACATACCTACATAAGTATCATAGAAACTGAGTAACAGAATAAAAACATTTCAGTTTTTTTGTTCAAACTTTGTGAAGTGGTCCAAGATATTTGTATGCCAACAAGATATAGGTCATGGACAGATGTGCTCCAAATTCCACTACAATTTGGAGCACTTCGGTGTCGTACAGATGTGTGCCCCTCTCTTCCCACCCAGCCACAATGGAGTGTTTCAAAACTGCTGCAATGCCATACAGCGGTGGTGCTCTCCAACTAAGGCAGGTGACAGGGACCTGCTAGTCCTCCATCGTCCCACAGTGCTCAGCTCCTCACTCCCCAGAAGCAAATTTATCTAGTATTATCAGTCTTTTTTCCAGCCTTTTCTCCTTAAAACTATTAAGTTACACAGTGGTTATTTTTTGGTTATACTTCAGCATATACTTTACCAAATGAGTAAAGATAGGAACTCACTTTCGCCACCAGGAGCGAGGCTTTTCAAGTTCCTTCTCATTATATCCCAATAAAGCAATAAATGCAAAAAACCAGGCCACTAACATCATAGAAACAGCAAAAAAGAGTCGAATAGGGAACAAAGTCAAGGTCATGAAGGCAACCTGCAACACACACAAAAGAGTCATTTTAGATTACATTAAAATAACAAATTGAACAAAGTCAGTCATTTTAAGAAAACCCGGAAAAGGTGGTTAGTTTAAAAATAAATATTCTTCCACTTAATGTGAAAAACACCTTACTAACTGAATGAAGAAAACTCTAAAACAAAGCTATAGTTATGTAGCTACATCACACAGCAACATAGTTAAGAATACCTGAATATTTCCATTCTCAAGTCTTCTAGATATAGTCCATGTCTGGGATTGAATTCTTAACTTTGAATTGAGTTGTGTAAAAATTTCAATCAATCATTTGAGCAGAGGCAGGGGGACACTTGTCATTATACAAGGAAAAAAAGTCTGTGTTATAAAAAAAACAACAAAACAAAACCCTCTACCCTATATTAAAAGAACATTTGAAGTATTAACTCTGCAACCTCTTAAGTCAGGACATATCAAAAATCAAGGTTTTCTTCACAACCTTACCTCAGCCTTATTGTTCACATTTGTTGTCGGGCTGGACCCCAAACAGGTCTTTTTCTCTATTTTGTTTGAGGGCAGGGGGAAATGATTTCCAGGGCTAATGAGCTGATTTATTTACATTTCCAGCATTTAACACACATCAAAGCAACAGAAATAAAGGGCTAGATTTAAGTCTTGGTCACAAAATCAGTAAGTAGGTGGGGGAAGGAGCAATGTTTCCCCACCCCCACCCCTCTTCTTACTCAGTAACCTAGCAATTAAAGCACTCATCCAGGATGCAGAAGACTTGAGCTCAAATACTTCATCTCCAGCTTCCTAGGAACCTGCCCAAATCATAACCCTATAATTTTCTTAGGTGGAATGCTTTCAATCTTTTTTAGCAAACTTTATGCACTTTTGCATAAAAATTACATATTCAGTCAAGCAGAAACCACCACCTGGACAACCCAGTTGAGTGCTGCATGACCCTCCTTTTTTCCTCCTCTGACCTAATGAAGAATATACTTGCCAAAAAAATTGCCCATTCCTATTTAAGGTAGTGTTTAATGACATGGTCACGTACTACTACTTTTCTCTAGGGCCCCCAGACTCATTCAGTGCTCAGAATAAACATGGTGTACAGTAAATTTGGACTGCACAGTGGAAAAGACTGTCTTCAGGATCCCTACTTAGTTTGCTGCAGAAGTTAGAAAAAGGTACTGTGAGTAAGGCAGGAGAAAACAGTAAGAGTAAAGAGTTTCTTGGTTCACATGATTGGAGGCTGCCCTGTAGAACTGGATTCCATGCCTTTACAGGAGTCCTATGTAATGCTAAACAAATGACTCAAACAAAGCAGGTGTTATATGCAAGTCCACAGTTCTCATTTCTGGATGCCTGGCTTGAGATCCAAGGTTCAAATTTGTACTCGTATTCAGGGATATAGCTTGTATCCATGTTGGTCTAAAAAGCAGAGGCAGACAAATTCAAGACTCTTGGACTAAAGATTATATCTGTTATTAGACCAACTAAACAGCAGGAAAAAAAACTGTCTTTGCAAGCTTTCAGGTCCAAACTCATATTTGCAACTTAAGTCAATGGGAGCTATGGTCTGAAAGTAAGTGCTATACGATGCTAAGAACTTTGAAAAATTATGCCCTAGGCATCTCAAATTGAGCACAAAGAATTAAAGTTAGAGCCTCATGTTGAAAATGGGGATAAAACTTGCCATCACAGACAGACAGACAGACAGACACCACAGTGATGATTACCAGAGAAAAGCCCATCAGGAAACTAATTCTTCAGAGCAGAATTTTAATAGCAAACAGTAAATGCTCATAAGGATCACACACTGAATGAGCAGAAAGCATAAAACACTTAACAGCTGCTCATTAAGAGTGCCATCTATTGTATATGGAGGGTAACTAGAATTTTATAATCTAACGTTTGATGCAAACAGGTAGGTAACTGCTTGAAGATAAGTGAAGCTGATGGCTTAAGGTGTGACAAGCTGCTTCCCAGAAATAGAAGTAGCTAGGCAGTGCTTTTACAGAGACGGGTAGCTTATTGTAGCTCTCCATCTCCATCCAACTTTCATGAAACCAATGAAAATGTATGGAAAAGCGGAGACACAAAGAGCCTTTTGGTACTCAGGTGTTTCTAACTCTAGTACAAGGTCCATCTTATGGGGAGAAGTAAAACGGTTCTGCTGGAGTAAGACTTTCTTCTCTTTTTTTCTGGGGCAGAGGGTCATAGCAAAGGCTGACAGTTGCCCCAGCTCTTTGCTATCTATCATCACCACTCCTGCTGCATAGTCCAGCTACCTACACTACTCCTCCACCTAGTTTAACTCTGTAATAGGTTTGGAGAGGGATGTTAATTTATGAGAAAGGTAGCATTAGAGGAACACCGTAGCCACGATGGCCTAGAAGAGATAAGGATTTCTTGGGGGTAATACTTTTTAATTGGTCTGACTGCATAGCTGGGATAGAGTTGGACAAGCTTTCAAATGCAAAATGCTCTTTCATAAGGTTGAAGCAGTGAAAGCCCCTGGTCCTGCCCCCTGGCTTTCACTGCTTCAACCTGATGAAGAGAGTTTTGCATTTGAAAGCTTGTCCAACTCTACTCCAGCTATGCAGTTGGTCCAATGTAAGACATCACCCTAAGATATCCTTGCCTTGTTGAGAAAAGTAAGTTTCTACTAAAACCTTTTGGGAGGCACAGACAACGAAAAAGGCAAATCAGTCAGCTTTGTTCACGTTTGTCACTCTTTCGGGCAACTGCACCTATACCAATGCAGGAGTAAGGAAGGAAGGAAGGTTGGTTCGAGACATTCCAAGCCATTTTATCAACAGTCATAAAGGCTTATTTGCATAAAAAGCAAGTGCAGAACAAGTCAAGCAACTTTCCTAAGTGAAGGTGCTTCTCTGACCTTAACACTGAAGAAGTCAAACCAGTCTTCTGCTCTCTGATGTCAGACAGCCTTTGCTATCTTAACCTAACTTCAATACCTGAAGAGTTATTAGAGTGATTTATAAAAACTCAGTTTGTAAATACCTGAGGAGGAAGGGGTGATTGTTATCAGTCAACATGGGTTTAAGAACAAGTCTTGTCAAAAACAACTTGATTTCATTTTTTTTTGTCAGGTTAACTAGTTTGGTGAAAAGGCAAATACAGTCAATATAACATACCTGAACATTGGTAAGTGGTTTCTGACATGGTCCCACATACTATTCCCATAAGTTAACTGGAGAAACATGAGGCAGACAGAACTTCTAAGTGGATACATAATAGACTGAATCACTGCAAGCAAAGAATAGCTACTGACGGATTGATTTCAGACAGATGGGGTCTCTCAAGTGAGGTTCTACAGGTGTCCGTTCTGTTTCCAGCATTGTTTAACAATTTATTAATGACTGAGAGGCAGGATTAGAGAGCATACTGATTGAATTTGTACACAATCAGAGGAGTTGAGGATCAGATAAAAATCCAGAGGAAGTTTGAAGAATTGGGCTATAGATTTAAAAAAAAAAATTAAACAAGGACAAATATAAAGGTGCTGCACATCAGGAAGAAAACTTAAATGCAGAATGGACGATGGCAGGTTTGACAATCACACTGTCCAGGAGGACCTGGGGGTCCTGGTTGAGTCTGAAATCCAATGAATCAGTCCCCCCCCCCCCCAAAAAAAAGCCATTTTGAGCTGCATTAACAGAAGCATTGTACATAAAAGACACAGGTGGCAAAAGTAGTATTCTGCTCAGTACTCTTTAGGCCTCAGCTTGATTACTGTGTCCAGATTTGAGCACTGCATTATAAGCAGTAAAGAAGCTGGAAAGGGTCCAGAGGCAAGCAATGAAGATGATAAAGGGACTGGAAAGCAAGCCATGTGAGGAAAGGTTGAAGGAACTATATATGTCTCATTTGCAGAAAAGGGGATTAAGTGGATAAGGAGGGAAGTGACAGCAGTTTTTAAATATTTGAAAAGTTGCCATGAAGAAGACTGAGAAACATTGTTCTCCCTTGCCACAAAGGGCAGGACACAGGGCAGTAGGCTTAAACTGAAGCAAAGCAGATTCAGACGAAACCTGGGGAAAACTCTCTAACTGTAAGAAGAGTAGGACAAAATGCAACAACTTTAAGGAAGTCACAAAGTCTCCTTTACTGGAGATTTTCAAGGGTCTAGACAGACAATATCTGGAATGGTTTAGGAATAGTGAATCCTCTATTTCTATAGGGGATTAGATTAGTTGATACTGGAGGCCCAGTCCAACCCTATGAGTCTATGATGTCACATTGAGCATTTAAACAGCAGAGAAAAAGAAAAAAAGAAAATTTAATTCAGTTAAGTTACAAACATATTCAGCACAGGACAACCAAAAGGGTCCATCACCACTAAAGCACATTCCTCATCTATACCTGGAAATAAATTCGAGATTCTTGACTCAGCAGTCCCCGACTGCCAAAAGTTTTCTAAACCCAAACAGCAAAACATGAAACTCGTCCACATGCATCACCTAACCATACAGAAAACAACATCTTAGTACTAGTCACCCTGTTACTACAATTTCTTATTGTTAGCTCAAGCATGTTGTGCATTAAAAGTTTGGCATTACCAAAAGCTCATGAGGGAGTCAATATGGCCCCACAAGATAGAAATTTTGTGCAGTTTTCCAATCTCTTTTGCTTTTTTTATTTTAAAAAAAGCATAGAAAATTAGATAAAAGATATATTAAAAAAGTCTTCAAGTTCTGAAGTCAGACATTAAAACAATAATGTCTCTAGTTGCAGGATTACATACTCCTTTTTATTTTACCAAAATCCTATTTCATTCAGTACACTGGGCAGGTGGATAGTACGCAGGGAACAAATCAGGATTGTACAGGAAAAGGCAGCTATCACTCTCAAAACCTTGTGTGCTATTTGTCGTGGACATTTAAAAGTATGCAGCAAATCAAGCAGGTGACTGCAAAATGAATGAAAGTTGGTTCATGCAGGTGACTGCCACCCTAAGGACCAGAATTCTTGTCTGGCTTCAATCTCAGAACTTGCGTGATGCCAGCATAGTCTCTGAAGGCAGCGTTCAAAAAGAAGCTGCTGCTGGGACTGCTATACACTTTGTATGAAGGACTCTTTGGATAAAATGCATCGACAGCATGCGAAGCACAGAGAAGCACACAGAGTACTCTACTCCACTTACACCTATACCAGACAAATGCACAGGTCACTAACCTACATAAAGGCCTCAGTTCCACCCTCGCCCGCTGCTTACAGTATTACAAACTTCTATATACCACTCAAGTACAAAGCATCTTTCAGCCCCTCTACTTTGTAACTTAACTGTACTGCAGCTAGCAGTTTACAAGGTGGAACTGTCCTCCAATGAAGCCACCTAGTTTAACATCCCATCGCGCTCCATTTAACTGCACCAGAAATGGAGATGTGTTTTGACGTATAAGCTGCCCTTCCCAACAAAGATTTAGCGTGGCTTACAGTAAGGAAACAGAATAACTTATAAAACAAGAGAATGAACACGAAAACAAAACAAAAAGTAATTTGAGTATCAAGATAAAACAGAAACCCCCTAAATATCCCAACCTAGCTTGCTTTGCTAAATGCCTGCCCAAACAAGGAAGTCTTACAGCATTTCCAAAGATGTCTAGGTTCAGGCTCTGACAGACCTGAAGAACAAAGGACTTCCAGAACTGAGGAGCAACTGCTAGGAAAAACTTCCCACACATTTTCACCAAGCAAACTTGGGGATGAATAAGCAGTCATGGAAGGCCTGCAAGTATCTCGGGGGCTGAGACAGCCCTAAAACCGAATAGTTCCGGCCACTTTCACGGCATCTAGCCAGTTTGGGGGCTGCTACTACCACAGCATTCACCTTACTGCATATTTAGTGAGCACTGTTTAGGTTGATTTCTGATAAGCACGTACTCTTGGTAAGTGCAGAGTTCTTTTTTCAGCATCAAGGAAGTGCATGTATACCAAAATACACTATCCTCACCACTGAGCTAAAGGGTCATGCTCCTTGCTCTCTTCTTGCATTCCTGGCTGCCTGGTGATGCAGCTGAAGGCGGTAAATGGTGACCCTGCCTACCCTATTGTAACACCCGGTGGTTCAGACACTCTCCTGGGAGGAGGGAGATCTAAATTTTAAAAAATCATGGCAGGAAGAAGAAAGTATGGCACCCAGATCTCCCTTTCTTGGGTGGCTGTTCTAGCCTTTTACCTGTTATGCCACCTCCCAGTGCTTTTCAGGGAAAGCAATCATGAGGGTTGAATTGGATGCCTCTGGCTGTGGATGCCCTTAGGGGCATACCTTAGGGATTGGGCCCCTCTAGGAGCTCAGGAGCAAACACCTAGTTTGTAAATCCCAAATGGCCTTATGGATTTAAGTGCTTAAACATTTGATTGAGCCAAGGTAGTGATGCTTCTGGGCCTATGCAGCAACTGATCTTCAGACACAGATTTTGCTAGGACATTTGCTTGGACTTAGGTGCTTAAATTCTGCCTACAGAGCTCCAAAAGCCCTTTTTGGCCTCTGGCCCTTAAAAACCCCCTCAACAACAAGTGTTCCCATGGTGGCTACTACATGTTTCTACTTCCTGGATGCCAGAGCCAGATTTACCAGAGGACTGAGCACCCATAACCGCAACCGAGGTAGACGAGCTGTTTGTGGAACGTAACGCACAATAAGAAGGTTAAGCATCCTGCAAAAATCAGGCCTACTAGATGAGAGACTGGAGTACCCCACATTAGTGGGGGTACATGACTATTTTGGTTGTGCACTCAATGCCTTGCTTCCCTCCATTTGTAAACCTGGGCAGACAGCACCTGACTGGAGGGGGGCAAAGATCCATTTACGAGATGTTTGTGAAACAGCAAAACGTTGCAGCAATGAGCACCAGGGAGAAGCCCCTGAGAAAACTCATTCTGTATGGAGCACAATTTGAATGCTGCGTAGCTACCGAGGCTGGAAGAGGAGGACCACAGGAAACGCTCGCAGGCTGAGCCATGCCACATGCACTTTCAGGTGCACTCGATTGATCCAAGGACCCTAGACAAGCCGGGCTGGAAGTGACCTCCAGGGGGCACCCAGTCCAAAGCAGGACCATCCCTAAGTAAGCCACCCCATACAAGCCATCCCCCATACTCTGCTGCCAACCCACATACAGCCCCATCCCAAGGGGCTGCACTCCAGGGGCACAGGCAACCTCCATCCCTTCGCCCAGCCCCTGCCCTGCCCACCTCCACACCCTGCCAGGGGCTGCCCTAACGTGCCCACCACACCCCCTGGCTGGGGGGCACAGCAGCAAGCCCCGGCCTGCCCCTGCCCCCAAACCCTTGGAGGGGGAGCAGGCACTCGGGGGCTCAGCTCTTCCCAAGTCACTCAGGCCCTTCTTCATTGGGGGCGGGGGGGGAGTGGGCTCAGCTGACCGAGGCCGGCTCCCCACAGGCCTGTTGGATATGTGGGGGGGATTGCACGGCCCAACCCCCACCCGCCTGCGCAGCCTCCCCGCACCCCTGCCCCCCCGCATGG